AATTATTAATTTTCATGAATAGAGAAATGGTGAGCATGTAGAATGATAGTTTCTTTGTAAAGAATGCTCCAAAAACAAGTGGAGTAAATATATTTACCTTTTTCTGCCTCACCTGTTTCATTTCATAAAGGTGTTAAAGATTTTGCTGGAGGCAGAATGTGGGGTTTAACATGATTCAATGGGTTTAATTAGTTTTTAATGAAGTGGGCTTTGGATTAACATATTCCCCCTTTGACTAAAGTCATAACCCTTTATTTTGAAGAGAAACTGTGGTTCTATTCTTTCACCTTTTTTCTGCTCACATATCTCTATACAATAAATAGTGAGGTATGACTCTAAGATTATATTGACAGCTTTAATGGGTTTTACCTTGTTTTTTATTCGCTTGGAAGTAAAGAAAAAATAGATTTTAAAAAGATTAATATTTATCTATCAGAATGTTACTGCTGATTTCTCATCTCCAGCCTTTGTGAATCATTTAACTTGCTGATAATCAGTCAGTTTTTCATTTCCTTTTAGGGTCTATAAGAAGATATGTTTTCTAGTCTTCTTGTGATGTGCTTTTATTAACTATTTCATATTGCAAAGGCCACATAAGAGATTGCAAATCTCATATTTTAAAATGTGTTTAGTATCCTAATTTTGGCTACCATAGTTCCAATTTTTATCAACACAGTAATTTCCATATTTATTAGATCATGTGGATCTTGCCTAAACTCTGAGATCCCCAAAAGGCTGCCAACATTTCTACATCCAATAAGTTCCATATTCATGTTCAGTCTTCCTATTATCTCACAAAATTCTAGCTCTCTTCTAGCCTTAAAAAAATGGCAGACATTTCTCAAGTTATTTTAGAACATTTTTGACATTTAAGGCACTGGTAAATCTGAAAATGACCACATATGAACCTTTTTTATTCTGTGAAAGCTGTCATGATAGGCTTAAGAGGCTGAACCCACATGCAGAACACCACAGGAAGCTGAGTAAAAGTTTAACAGAGTTTATTGAAAAACACACAGAGTAATTATGAACTGGTTCTGGTACAGGTCCGGGACTGGAATCACTGACATCTGCAGAGATGGATAGTTTGATAAGCCAGGCAGCGAGATGGCTTGTCGAGTGTGTTAATTCAGAATGTACCTAGATGAGGTTCTGGCAGATCCTTTGAGAGAGGGGGGGGGGGACCGGTTGGGTCCAGAGACTGTAGATTCAGCAGGGAGCTCAGCGGCAGCAGCGTCTAGCTTCTGACTCGTAAATTTCAGACCTTGACTTGGTTTCCTACCTCTTCCTTGAGAGCTGTTGGGGGAATCCAGACTGATGTCTTCGGGTTTGGCTTCCTTGGGCAGGCAGGCAGGTTTCCAGACAAAGCTCATCCAGAGCTTCAGACTTCGATCAGGTTTCCTATGAGGCAGAGAAGACAGAGGCAGGTTAGAATCTAGTTTCTCCCTAGAGTCTACTAGGATTCTATAAATTAACAGAGGCTCAGGTTTCGCTAACCAAACTTGGTCAACACTCCGGCATTGAAGGAAGGTCTGACTGCTGCTTATGTAGGAAGGTCTCCTGATGGGCTGATGATCCTCAGGTGTGCTGGAAGCTCCAGCCCAGGAGACCCACAGTGCTCTCTGCTGGAGACAGATGGTAACTCTCCAGATCCCAACAGTAATCCCAGTCCTTAACAGAAAACATAAAAACAGAAGAGGATCCTCGGCACCCTCAGGTGGGCAAACCTCAGGATCCCAACAAAAGCATCCACAACAAACAGCAGCAGCCTTTTAGGATTTTGATAAAGTGCATTCAATGATTTGATTTCTGTGTTTTCTGCATCCGTTCATCAGTGGGGGATTATTATGCCAAAGATCATCCGATATCACAGAGCTGCATGTTTCTTAATGCTTCTGTAAAGATGATATTCTTGATAAGCACTGATTCTTGATTTTCTTGTTGATAGTTAACATTAATAAGCACAAACAAAACATTTCCGAATTTAAAATCTTTGACAGCATCCAAACAAGTGCATAGTTTGATGTACATCAATGTGTGTTACTGATATTTTCAATAAAAAAAAAAATAAGGAAAAGGGAGATAGATAGCAAAGTATTTCCGTGTTTGAAGTATATTTTCAAAAGATCGAACACATAGAAATACTGTCTAGATTTATTTTTTCTTTGATATGGTATATTTTTGTCCTTTAAATAAAAAAAATGAAGATGTCAACTGTGGCAGAACTGGCACAATTGGTTACTGTACTAACCATCTGATAAATAAATATAATAAATATATCAAGATAAATGTATCAATGATGATCAGTGATGATTCATTTTTATGGAAGAATGTTACTAAATATGTAATCCCTCTCCAACCACCATTAACTACCGCCATAGAAACCAAAATACTCACTAGCAGAGTATGCATTTTTTCCCCAATTTTTTTCTTTAAATAAAGAAAAGAAAAAAAATGTGTGACCATGATGAGCATGAGAGTTTTTATTTCTCTTAATTTTTTTCTTATTCGAGAAACACACCAAAAAAACTTCTTGCAGCCTTGCTATGGCATAATTGAGTATTCCTTATTTTTCCTCTTTTACCTCAAATTATATATAAAATATATAAAATGATATACCTATGCTAGTCCATGAATCTGGGTTACGAGGGCAGCAGTCTCAGCAGAGAAACCCAGACATCTCCTCCAGCAGAAGCAGATGTCTGAGCCTCCTCTGCTGACTCCTCTCTATGAGGAGGGGAAGGAGCTCTACTCCAAGAATCTCCCCGACGGACGAGCTTCTCAGTTTCTCTGCACCCAGCCACACTGCAGAGGAATCTCATTTCAGCTGCTTATGATCAGCTATCGGACAGACATATGAAAATATTTCATTAAAAAAGGTTAGACGCTAAACTTTTTATTATTTTTTTATTATTGTTTTTATTATAGGCACACACACAGTTTCAGTTAATCTCCATTCATATATCAATGCAGGTTAAAGGATGTCCATGGCTCTTATGCAATTTTGATACTGTAGCTTTTATTTCTTTAAAGTAAACACCCAGTTTCCCTCGCCATGATTTTTTTTTCACACAGATGGTAACTCAGACCCACTTTAGTTATTTGTTGTTGTAATTTTCCTATTATTTTTCTGGTTTTACTTTGAATAGCTGGTGGATTGGCAGGTGCATGCACATGAGCATGGATACTCAAACCGTGACAGAAACTCACACCAGTTGATTATAAACAATCATTTTTACACTAACATTAGCTGATTGTGTGCAGCATAACTCAACCTTGTTCTGTTCTGCCTGGTTGAAAAAATTTTTCATCCTTAAATAAATGAATCAGATGGGGCATTTTGAAACATTATACAGTCATGGTGTGGGGAATATTTTCTTGGCACTCTTTGGGCCCCTTGGTACCAATTGAGCATCGTTGCAACGCCACAGCCTACCTGAGTATTGTTGCTGACCATGTCCATCCCTTTATGACCACAATGTACCCAACTTCTGATGGCTACTTTCAACAGGATAATGTGCCATGTCATAAAGCTGGAATCATCTCAGACTGGTTTCTTGAACATGACAATGAGTTCACTGTACTGAAATGGCCTCCACAGTCACCAGATCTCAATCCAATAGAGCATCTTTGGGATGTGGTGGAACGGGAGATTGGCATCATGGATGTGTGTAACAGTCGTGGAATGAAGAGTCGAAGGGATCAGACTTGCTTCGGTTTATTTCTGTTTACAAGAACATATTCAGCACAGCAACTCTGGGCTCCAGTTTCCCACATGCACCTCTCCTCAGCGCAGCTTGGCGCGAACTGAGAATGCATTAAGACAAACCAAAATTCTCACAGAGGTTAAATAATAATAAAATGAATTAATTATAATAATAATAATAAAAACAATATTTCTCATTTATAATAATTAAATGATAATTATGTAAAATCTGCATTCATACAAAACAAAATAAAACCCAAACAAAAATAATCTGCCCAATCATTACAATTCTCCGATATAATATGAAAATATACTAAATAAATAAATTTGACATCCAAATAACATTTTGAATTACTCACATACCTGTTTACAACAAGAACATATTCAGCACAGCAACTCTGGGCTCCAGTTTCCCACATGCACCTTAACAAACCAAAATAACAGAAAAAAACCATGTTGCCACAGTAACCTCAACAAAAGTTACTACTGTGGGAATGTAACTGCCAGTACTGTGCTGCACAAAACAGCTAATCAACAATATATTTACGAATTATGAGCTAAAAAGAAATACTTTTCAGGATATTAGAACAATTTAATATACAAACAGAAGACTGTTCTATACACTTACCTCTCCTCAGCGCAGCTTGGCGCGAACTGAGGAGGGCAGTATGGCATGGCTGCAGCCGATATGACACGGACACGGAACACCGGAAGCGAAAAAAATAAAAGCTTCTTTTCCAAAATAAAATATCATACAGAACCCAAGAAAAACAAAGAAAAATGAGTTTGAAACATAAATAATTTTAAATAAAAGCAGTATAAAACAGAAATAACAACAAACATGTAAATTAATAAAATAAAAGGTGTTTTGAGAAGGTTCATCAAATAAAATAATCTAATTAACTCAGTTACATGTGCAGCCGACAAATCTGCAGCAACTGTGTGATGCCATCATGTCAATATGGACCAAACTCCCTGAGGAATGCTTCCAGCACCTTGTTGAATCTATGCCACGAATTGAGGCAGTTCTGAAGGCAAAAGGGGGTCCAACCCGTTACTAGCATGGGGTACCTAATAAAGTGGCCGGTGATTGTATATATACACATATATACACACACACACACACACATGTATATATATATATATATATGTATATATATATATATATATATATATATATATATATATATATATATATATATATATATATATATATATATATATATATACTGATACATAGATCCCGTGTTACACTTTGAGCAGCTGGTGCTTCTCCTCTCATCCTGAGGTCTCGCGGGGACCAGGTTTGACCCCAGACAGAGCGCAATAAGTAGGCTCCCCGCTGTTTTTTTCTGCTCCAATGACAGCCTGTGTGTGAGTGTATCGTTGTGCAGTGTGAACGGTTTGGCCGAGTTCTTACTATAGCAAACAGCGGAGCTCGCCGACTTTACAGAGATAAACCGACACAGGCAGTTCAGCTCGACCAGCAGGCATGGAGCTCTCTGCGGCGGGGGATCGCATTTTTGCCGCGGAAGCCATACTGAAACGTCGCGTCCGTAAGGTGAGCCCTGTGCCTGACTGCAGATGTTTGCCGCGGCTCCCCGTCTATAGGCTCTGATACTACCTTATATGCAGCGCTTTAGGCCTTCGGATACCAATAAGTTGATAGCCGTTGCTAACTTAGGACCGCCTCAGCTAAGGCTTTTTATTGAAACAATGGGCAGAGTCATAAAAACAGTGACACAAAGAATCGGCTTGCTGGAAAAGATTAACACAAAGCACGATTGATGAGGAATGTAACGTGAAACTGAGGGGGGGTTATTTTTTTCTTCCCACTCCAGCTAATTGTGGCTAAAGCTATACACTCAAAGTATGCATTTTAAGACATTAAATGCTTCAGGAAGCAGTTATGGCTGCGTTTAGATGGTCATTTCAATGGGGCGCGTGCCAAAATATTGATCTTTTATTCATAAAACCTGACTAGGACGGATTTTTATCCAGCATGGCTGATGAAAGGTTTATAGAAGTTTTCATCTGGGCAGAAATTTCTAGAAGATACCCTATAGATTATAGTGGTTTGGCTGCTGCACTGGAGCAGCTGCTTTTTGAGTATAACTTGTGCATGTACATTTACATAAAAGTGCCATTGATGTTAAAAGGAATATTTGTTTTCATTAAGGCTGAAAAAATTAATTGGATTAATCAATTAGTGAAATAAATCTCAACTAATTTGATAATCAATTAATCATTTACTGGAATGTAAAGACTATGAAATATACATGTGACTGAAAGAGCAACCCACTTAGAGCAGTAATTATACTAAAATTGTAAAAAAAAAAAAAAAACATTTTGCATTTAAGATTTTTTTTTTCATCTGTCAATATGTTCTATCCAGAACTCTTCAAGTGGAAAAGTTTTAGTTTCACCAGGTTTATTTAGTAAAAAGCTATCTGCTATCTCATTATTAATTGATTTATCGAAAAAAAAAAAATCCCCCCTAAATTGCTCATACAAACAATTTTAAGAATATTTATGAGTGCTCTTATAAGAACATAAAGTATTAAAACTCAATGTTAAATGATAATTTCTACCGTGAGGGTATTTTTTATAGTAATATTAAACAAGCTGATATTAGATATCAGACTTTGTAAGCTAACTTTTATGTTGTCACATGTATATTTTTAAAGGGAAGGTTGCTGAACTAAACTCTACAGCTAGCCATGTTTTTCAAATCATTTGTATACCTGAAAAACGTGGCTAGCTGTAGAGTTTAGGGATAAAGGAAGTTCTGTATTCCTCAGTTTAGATAGAAACGTAAAAACATTTGACTCTAAATAAATAAACTGATACTTTTTCCCACTTTTGAAACAAGATTTTAATTCTCCCTCATCTTTGATCCACAAATCTCTCATTTGGACACCATCAACAAAGCAATAAATGCCTTCTTTTTTTTTTTATCTGCTCTTTTTCAAGTAAATCAACCACAGTTTGGTTGGAAATAAAGTTTAACAAGCTCCTTTTCTGCCAGCAGAACAGGAATGGTGAAAGGAAAGGAAATAAATGATATTCAGGGTTTCTTTAGAATTCATTGGAAGTTCTCTAAACTGCAATCTGTGATGGCAAATAAATAGCTTTTTTTTGAGTGGGGGAGGCAGTCAGTAACATCATCATTAATCAAAGTGTTGGAGCCCAAATTGAGGACTTGTTTGTAGTAACATATTTGAATGCATGCAGGACAAATTTTGTCAATATGTAGGTTTTTGTTTTTTTACGGTCCATCTATTTTTCTCATGCAGGGAAGAATTGAATATCTGGTGAAATGGAAAGGATGGGCCATGAAGTAAGTGTTGCATTCTTGGTGTCTTTTTCAACTTGTCCCTGCTGCTAACATGCCAGCTCTCAGTTTTCAGAGCAAAAGCTGGCTGATTGCATAATTGTATGTTTTTCTATTCTTTGCTGCGTTGCCCCAACTCTGTTTAGACACAGCACCTGGGAGCCAGAGGAAAACATCCTGGATGACAGGCTCATCCTGGGCTTTGAGCAGAAGTAAGTCAGTCAAGTCCATCATTTCATTTTTTTTTTTTTTTATCTTTTTGTTTTCCACATTTTCTTCAATTCCATAGAAATGGTACTAAAGCAAGATCTCCCAGCGGTCAGCACTCCAAATGCATGTTTATCGACCCTAATCTCATTTTGCAGCTCATCCAGTAACTTTCCATTTCATTTCTAAGACTTCTTCTGCAAATAAGATTTGCTAGAAAATGAAGGAAACAAACTTTGAGACTGAGGTGGAAGCAATGGTAATTTCATGTTTAAGAGATGTAGATGTAATGGAAACTTGTGGATGAATGCAAGAACAATACAATGCAGCGCTCCAGTTACTAGACAAACTATGCTTTGTAGCAAGAATGGAAAATGAAACGACTTATGTAAACAACATGATCTGATTGTATTTTTTAATGGGTTGAATATGTGGAGACCAACAGAGACTAACAATGACATCATAACGTCCATTGATGATTGAAGGTCCAATGTTTTTTTTTTTTTTATGCTATTAACTAGGACTGAAACAATAGATGGGATTAATCATGATTAATCGTTTTATTGAAATTGTCGTCAACTATTTTAGTAAACGATTAATCGCTAACTTAAGTATAGAGGCTCTAAAACATGCCTTTAGCTGGCAGACCAAACCTACTTAGAGCAATCATTATTCCAAAAAAAAAAAAAAAAAAAAAAAATATATATATATATATATATATATATATATATATGTAAAAATTTTGCATTTAAGATAATAAAAAACTCTTTTGTCTGTCAATATGCTCTATCCAGAACTCCTCAAGTTGAAAAGTTTTAATTTCACCAGGTTAACATTTGCAAAAACTGTTCTTTCAGGAACCTATGTGACGATTAGTCGCAAAAATAATCTACAGATTTATTTGATTTGCAAATTACTCGTTAGTTGCAGACTAACTCTTTTTTGTATATTTTTTAAATTTGGTTTTGAAAAAAATTAGGGCTGCAACTGACGATTATTTTGATCAACAAATGCATTCAAATTCAGATGCATTTTTTTTTCCTGGCTCAGAGTCTCTGTGAAAGGTTGTTAGTGGGCAGAAACGACCTCTGTGCTGACTTTCTGTTGCAGCAGAGCTGAGGTTTCCTCCAATTAAAGGCTCAGGAGGTGGATCTCCATGTTCTGATGAGGAACTGCAGCTCTTATGATTCTCAGATTGTTCAGCTTCACATCAACCCCCACTACTTTTATTTGTTTTTATTTTATTTAGTTTTATACTAAAGTTCTTATTGTCTAAACAGATGGCTGCGAAGAAAAAAATCACACTTTTCATCACAAAGACATAGAAAATAGAAACAGCGTCTCACAAAAAGACCCTATAATTATAATGGCAAACCTTGTTTCAGTCAGATTTTATATGATGGACTAAAAGAAGTTAGTGTTTATCTTTCTATTTTTTTAAAATACCAGTTTTGTAGTTGTATCATAGCGGTGTCTTTAACTTTTCTAGTGGATCATATCTATCCAGTGACTTTTACCCATAATCAGACTAATCTGCTTTTAATGAATGCAATAAACTTTGCTAAAAACAAAAGACTTAGTTTTTGGATCAACTGTTATCCATACATCCCTTTCCTACATGAGATCTGATTACTTTGTTTGTTTAATGATGTTTTTTTTATTTTGTTTTAGAAATTGTATAACGTTTTTCATGTGAGACATTTTAAGTGATGATTTTTTAGATCTGTTGTGGGATGACCCGTCACCCTAATTATGCTGCAGGGTTCTGGACGTGCGTCAACCAACTTTTCCAATCTGCACTCTGACATTTCTACCCATCCCTCATTTGCAAAATATTTAAAGCTCAGTCCGAGTGGACGGAGAAGAACTTTACCTACAGAATCACTGCTGGATTGAGGGCTGGATTATTTTTGCACCATTCTTAAACATGAATACCTAGATCCAAAGCATTCAAAATTTCACAGGCTTTATACATTTAGGGATTCCTTCAGCTGGAAGGTAATTCTCCACCCTAGTTTTCAATTTTTAACCTCCTGGGAAGTTTTTGGTTTTGTTTTAGGATTCCTCTATATTATGCTCCCTCTATAATCCCATCAACCTTGATCATGTTTCTTGTCCTCGTAACATGATGCAGCCACTACTGTGCATCAGTATGGGGGAAGGGTTGCGTTTTTCTAAACGGTGTTGTGCATATAGGTGAAAAACCTAACCAGATGCATGGGTTTGTTTTCTGTTTTACCTACATGGCTTCTAGCAAACAGGTCTTCTATATGATTTTTTTTCCCATCCATGTAGTTTACATTTGTGGAAGGTCTTATCAAATGTAATGTTTCCCCTTACCTGTGGACCTCTACAGCTCCTCCAAAGTCACCTTCAGGACCTTGCCTGCTTCCCTGACTAATGCTTTTTATTCTGGGTCGAGCAGTTTACCTAGTTGTATGAAAAAGTTTCCAATCAGGCTCTACCTTTACCTCTTTGTTCTCCTAATATCCAGAAACAATTCTTTCATCATGTTATGTTCTTTTTCAGTGTATTTTCTCACAAGACAACCAGAAAAAATTGTCTCAACTAAAAACAGAGGTGTCAGATTTTGTCACTTCTGATTGAGAAGATCTGTCTTATGGCTTTATCACTGAGTGAAACAGAGCAGAGTGATGCATCTCTGGCCTGCTCTTTCAAAAATTATGTGGGCGTTGTAAAGCATTCGCCAGACGCTTTGTCCCTGCTAAGGACACCGCAGCACTTTTACTTATTCACTCATTGAAACCGCAGTTTGTTCCTGAAAGATGTTGACATGAATTTTGTATCCTTAAAAGTTGTGTTTGCTTAAGTTTTTTTTTTCTCTCCAGCCTCTTCAGAGAAGTTTATCTGAGGAGAACTTTCTTTTCTATTTCATTCCAAGCCACTTGAAAGAGCCTAAGCTTCTGTCGTAGGTGTTTACAAAAAAACCCAACCAGTCAAAGCTAAAAAATGACACATCAAATGGAAACAAACATGGACACGAAAACAAAGGGGAAGAATGAGAACAAGCCCCAGTTAAAGCGTTACTTTCGATGCTTTCGCTACCTTTTCTTCAGCTTTCTGTTAGCTTTAACTCTGTTTTCTGTTTTTCTTTTAGGGAACGGGAAAGGGAAATGCATGGGCCTAAAAAACGGGGCCCAAAACCCAAGAACTTAGCGATGAAGGTATGGTTTTTACTTTGTTTTAAAATACTTCCTATTAAAAAATTAAACTGTTGATAAATATTAGATAGCATTAAGAAGCTGGGAAAAATGGATGCTCTCTAAAGAGATGAATGTATAAAAATGAAATGAATTATAAAAAAACAACTCTTTTGAAGTCTTTGCCATGCAGCGAACATCAGTCTGTTCTGTTATTATAAATGAGACCAAGAAAAGGTGAAGGTGCAGAACAAAACAAAAACCATTTGGGTTGACCTACTTTCTATTTCACACAACTGTTTTCTTTATTAGAAGTCAGCCTGAGAAGTCTTAGCGTGCCGGAATGGTGCTAAACCTAGATGCTCAACATGGCCTCAGTCTGGTTGGGGTTTATGTCTTAACCAGGAAATGTTGAACTCTTTTCTCCCTAAGGACCGTGGTCAGAAAGGAGAGTCCAGCAGCCGGGCCTTCAGCAGCCGCCAGACCGCACCTCGCTCCTCTTCGTCCACCTCCAACCGAGCAGCTTCCGCCTCCTCTTCTGCCGCTCCTCATACTCTACCATTATCCTCCTCCTCCCCAGCGCCCTCCCCCAAACTAAACTCTCTGGCAGCCACCCACAAACTGAAGAAAGACATTCACCGCTGCCACCGGATGTCCAGGCGCCCGCTGCCTCGCTCACACCCAGTCGGGCCTGCTTTTTCCAGTTCGAGTGGTTTCCCGTCCCGCATGCATGTCTCGCCTTTCTCCGAGACCGTCCGTATCCTAAACCGCAGAGTCAAACCTCGGGAAGTCAAGAGAGGAAGGATTATCCTCAACCTGAAGGTAATTGACAAGCCTGGCAGAGGGGGTGCAGCCGCAGGCTCCAGAAACGGGCAGTCTGGACGCCAAAACATCCCCTCTCGCAATCGCATCATTGGCAGAAAGGGGGATGCCCCTTACAGACCGTTCCAGCCTCCTCTGAAGATGCTGGGCTTCCCCATGTACGGGAAGCCGTTTGGGCTGCAGTGTGGCAGGCCCATGTCTTTTCACTCCCAAACAGGGTCCTGCTCTAGCACAGGAGCAAGAGACACCAACAGCAGCTCTTCACAGTGCCAGGCCCCCCCTCCTTCCTCTGCTCCCTCCAACTCGAGCAGTAACGCAGCTAAACGCCCCCAGCCAGCCGCTGAAGCCTCCAAGGATTCAGAATCCAGTACAGCTGTCCCAGAAACCCAGAAACCATCTGCCTCTTCATGTTCAGAAGCAAACGACAAAGTCCCAGCATCTTCCTCGCCGACTTCATCTTTAGAAGACCAAGATGAAGACGACATGGACTGTTCCCAAGCCTCAGAGGAAGGTAGGAGGAGTCCTGGCCATCACAAAGCTAAGCCCCAGTCGCCCTCAGCAGTTTCCTCTGCCACTCCAGATCAGCCCACAGCCCCTGCCGATCCCCAAAGGGTTCCCACCGAGGGGGACCCAGACTGGCACCCTGAAATGGCGCCGAGCTGCAAGGATGTGGTGGTCACTGATGTCACCACCAACCTTGTAACGGTCACCATTAAAGAGTTCCCCACCCCCGCATCCGGCCCCGCCTCTCCTGCTAGCGATGAGAACGCCTCCACCCCTCCACCAGCCGCATCGTCCGAGAATGCCGCCATCCCGAAGCCATAAAGATCCAATAATACGAACTTTAATGCCATTGAGGATAGGAAATTATATATAAAAATTATATCTTACCAGTGTTGCCACTTCAGCTCTATTCTACCCTATCTGTGTGGGGTTTGCCAATATTTGTTAGATACTCAATGAAATATAGTGTAACTAAATGCTACCCAGCCATGGAAGAGTAAAAAAAAACATATTTTTTCTAAAAAAGATTTTTAAAAAAGCAGGCAGCTTGTTCGCCTTCTTGCCATTTAGATTGCCATATTTGATCCAGCTTGCACACAAAGCAGAATTTGTTTTCTTCCACTTGATAAACACATGCTGAGGGCCGCCTGTTTGTTGCAGCTCAAGTTGTCCTAACGGCGCGTCCCTCACCCATCTGCTGTGCTGGCTTTCATCAAGCACACTTGTTGGAAGCGAAATAAGTCTGCCAACCATCGATGAAGGCTGTCCTCTGTGGTGTAGGTAGCCATCGACAACCAGTAGGTGTTTGGAGAGGTCCTCTGAAAGCCAGCTAGCCGATGTTTAATGAAGAGATTGTTTTTGTTTTTTTGTAATTAAACTGAAGATACTGCGTCAGTACAGCGAGGTGAATGCAATGCACTTGACTGCATCAAAAAACAGCCCGTTCTGTGTAGTTAATCAGGTTATCAAGGCCTTCTTTTCCTTCCATCTTTATCAAACGCTTATGAATATGATGTAGGAGCATATTTTAGCTTTTAGACGCTGCAAATATTTCAAAATACAATTTCCAAGTTATTCTTGCTGTAGTTTTAATCTCGCTTCAATCTCTTACAATCCGTTCACCCCCTTCTACAGCTTCTTCATCACTCCTATCCAACACCATTTTAACCCATGTAGGTTGAGGAACCGCGACCTACGATGAGTTCTGGTCCAACATCTGTTGGATTTCAGAGGCAATGGTTTGGATTTAAAATGTTTACAGACCTTAAAAGTTGTGCACATTTAGTCCCTTTTAAACCCCAACCTTCAAATGTGTGTAGACAACTAACTGAATTGGGGGATAAAGAATACTCGTATAGTTTTTATTTTCACATATAAAAATCTATGTTCGTATTTAACACCCTGTATTTACTCTCTAGAACAAAATTCATCTGCAGCTACAGCTGCAAATGACCATCTATTCTTGCCCTTTGGTTATGAAAGGAGCTCAAACGAAGTCGGATCAGAATCAACTTCATTGTTGTGGTTTGTGTGCACAAACAGAACAATGCTAACATCATAGCCAACAGACCGTACAGCAAGCCACAGCGTGTTTAAAAACACTTTCTAGAGATGGACGAGGAGCAGTTTATGGGAGCCTGTACAGCCCAGAGGGAAGCTAGGTTTTGATGATGCAAAATATTTTAGTTTCAGACAGTAGCTGACTTTCCTGCCTATAATATTTTTTTTTATCAGGGTTTACACAAATGAGTAACCCTAATTTAATGCTTTTTTATTGCTCTTAAAAATAACTTTAATGCCATCAAGAAGTACCTGCATCCATGTCTCAAATTCCTTGTTTGAAAGCAACTTTTGTTGAAATTAGCATTTTCCCATTCTCTAGATTTTTTTCCATCTCAAGCTTCTTTTGCAAACATTTGGCTTTACCATCAACCGGAAGCAGTTCCGCACAAATATATTGTGATACAATATATCAGACCAAATTGTTTTTATACACTTTTTTTTTTTTTTTTTTTTTTACGAAAGCATTTTAAATGCAACAATAATTACATTTTATGAATTGCCAATTAAGGCCTTGATTAAAACATAATGACTTTTAATGACCCGCGGAAACCCTGTTTATAGAGTTAAACAGAGAAAACATGCTGGAGGAAGAAACATTCTGTGTCTGCTTATTGCTGTCAGTCCGATGATAAAAGTCTACACATTTAGGATTGGTGGGTTCAAAAAGGTTTTTAACAGTTTTCAAACAGTCTTTATAAACATAAATTTTTTGAAAGTTTTGTCTCAGATTCTTTAAGTCTGAACTATAGGCCTTTTTGCTTCATGCAGTGACCTCTCTGAACCATCTTAGTTCATTTGTGCTGTATGTGTGGGTTTGTTGCTGCTGGAAGGTGAACTTCTGTTGCATTTAGCTTGGTTCTTCTCCTCTGTCCCCATGGTAACGGTGTGTGCGTGCAGTGTTGGTTTTCAGCTGCATATAGTGTTTTCCATGTAGCTACAAAGTTCAGTGTCAGTCTGGCTGATGTTTTCTGCATCCTCCACAGCTTGTAGCAAACTGCGAACCAGACTTCTTATAGCCTTTTCACGTTCTCTTATAAATTCCAGCTTTTTAGTGTTATTTGGGACTAATAGTTGTCTGGTTAAATTCTCCATCAGTGCCTCCATCCCTGGTGTGATTGGTTGGGTGAATATGTATGTCCTCGTAGGTTTGTAGCTATGCCATACTCTTGGCTACAAATGAGTGTAAAAGTTAGTTAATTTCACTAATTTTGGTGTCAAAATCCATAAGATCTCTAAGAGACTGGTGGTTAATCGACACCATGCAGAGTAAAAGTTACTCTGCATGGCTTTTAATTTTTCACAATTAACTCTTAACACTTGAGCAGATTTATGCTCAGCGTAGTTGTAAATACCATATTTAGAGTAAAACAGATTGACTCTGAATTTTTAACAGCCAATTTTTTATGTGTAGACATTTTTGTGGTACTTTTTTGAATGTAATAATTCAGGAAATAAACCCCAAAAAAAGGCCTGTTGGTTCATTTTTGGATGACGGATGATAAGCGAGATGTTCTAAAGTTGGAACATTGTTTTTAAAGCCTTATTCTGCTTGAAAATGTCTCTTTATTTTCCCCTCTGATCATTTGGGGTTCCTTGGTCATCATGATGTGTTTTGTTTGCCAGTGTTCACCAACAAACCGCTAAAGACACCATAGAACAACTTGATTTATACTGAGGTTAAAGAAACAAATTTGGACTTTATTGGGAGGGCTTTACATGAATTTACTCTACTTCACAGCTTCCGAAGTTCATTTTTTGCACTTGATTTAATTTAGGGCTATCAGGAAAACACATGTTTGTGGTTCCACTTTCATTGAAACACTTATAGTGTGTTTAGGGTTCACAGCATCTTCATGTTTATTGGGGTTTGAAGAAACTGAAATAGTCAAACATTTAAAGTTTGTGTTATGATCCAAAGTTCACATTAAGAATATCTATTTTTTTTCAATTCTCTACCACCCTCAACTGTCTGGATGAAGCATCGAGTGTAGCTAGACGTTTAACTTTAAACCATTTAAACAACAAACACCAGAGTATGTTGTTTAATTCATGTGTTTGAAAAACAAAACTATGTACAATATGTGCATGATTTGAGTCTTCAGCCCCTTTAATTGAAGGCAAAGTAGGTAACTTCTGTAAAAAGGTATTTTCCCCCCAATCGATTTGTTAAACTATGCCCTAACAGGAAAATGTAAAAAAATTTGGAAAGATGAAGCATCTCTTTTTCCCATTGGTTCTGCTGCCATTTGCTGAAATACACCGATCCCTGGTCAGAAACGGAGTAAGTCAGATGTGTTTACTGCTTCTTATATCCCTCCCTATCACTGCGCGTTCTGTCATCTAAGCTCAAGTCATGTTATTGTTTAATTTTTGGCTCAAGTCCAAGGTTTTCTCAGAACTTCCTACTGGCTTTGATCGTTTCCATCCTTCCTCAGTAAAAGGAAATGTTGCATCGGATGCAGCAATGATTCAAAATCTTTCTTCATCCCATCTCCTGGTTCTAGAAACAATGGGAACTTTAAAGCTAGGTATTCTTTTGATTATTTAGAGAACTTGTTTTCTTCCTGCTCTTTACGGACCATCCCAGATCGCCATTCGGTTCAGTGTATTATAACCTTTCCGCATGTGTTGCCTTATAGCTGTGCACCCTTCTTTTTGCTTGGCTCTTATTAGAACGGCTGTTAAATAGTCCTGACTTCAGCTTGACTGTTAGGATCTCATTACTGTAATAAGTTCACACTGTTTTAGATGTTTGGTTCATTGCAGGTTATCTGGAGGTGCAGCCGTGGTCTCCGACAGATGGGGTTCCTCATCTGTTTGTTCTGTACTGGATGGTTCTTGTTGTTCTCCATGCTTTTGTGATACGACATGAATGGATTTTTTCCAATATGACTTATCCATCATTGGAGGAGAAATAAGCTGACTACCTTTAAAAATGAATGATGTAGGTTACCTTGAATATTTTGATGAAAAACATGCTGTGAAATGAAAGACAGTTTCTCTCTCTGAATGGAAAAGTGTTTGGAAAATCTTTCATGTTCCGTATCTTATCTATCTAGGTGGCGATGACACTAGCTGTTGGTAGATGTTTAAGATATTAGTCTTGAAAGCACCTCTTTCTCTTATTTTATTCTCATGTGGGGTAGCACAACTCAACTTAGTGACCTGTCTTGTAACCAAATAGGGCTCTTTATTCTCTTTGATTTTATCTTTTTTATGCTTATTTGTTTCCCTTTGTAAATTGTTTTAATGTGTGAGTGCTGAATCAGCACCAATTGGACGAACTGAAGGATCTTGGTTTTGTGCATTTTTTTCTCTCCATATTTTTATAGTATGTTATGACCTGTTTGAAATATATATTATTATTTCAATATAAGGCTCATTGTTTAATGCTATTTTTAATAGTCTGAATTTTTCCGTGTGTCATGACTGCAGTTTTATTTTGGTTGATCATTTGAAATAATTGCATTGTACTGATAGTAAAGCGAAGAAGGCAGAGTATATTGTTGACAGTAAAATGTATGTGAAGCATGTTTTGCAACTTCTTGCTGTACAGATAATGTATTCAGTGTCCTGTTATGTGTTGTTTTTGTGTTTCTTGTAATAGGTCTTTGATTAAAAGCACTCTAAAATCATTTGTTTAGCTCTTTTTTGTTCTAGTATAAAATGCATGTAAATAGAGTTGCATGGCAGCAGATCTATTAATCATCTGGAGGGAAGCTGGTTATGTAATGTACAGTTTGCGTTTTTAATGCTGCAGTACACACCCATCAAATGAATCTGATTAGTAGCTTTTCTAACCTTGCTTGAACTAATTTGTTTTTGGTCTTAATTTGTAAAACTAGATTGAACTGACTATATCAGTCTAAAATAAGTAAAACTATAACAAAGTAGCTGGCTCTGCCTCAAGGATCAGCTATATCCTTTCACCCATCCCTACATCTATTCCATGTTACAAACAGTGCTTAATGGCAAAGCTGACAGGAAAATTCTGCAGTTTTAAACTAATATGAGTATACGTTTTGTAGCCAGCCACCTGAAGCTATATTTCTTTGGGACACCTTTGTACGTTTTTGGTTTGTCTCCGCTAGCTTTGCACAGACACAAGACGGATTCAGTCTAACAGGATTTGAGCTAATATTTTCACGTCTGTTCAAAGACTGTCGGTGTGATTTAGGAATGGACTGAATCATCATAAAAAATGGTTGGGTTTTAAACTAACCTATACCCTCACAGGTCAGACTGCGTATTGAAATCATTTATCAATTATATTCCTGCCCTAGCTTGAGTAGCGATTACCTTCATCTATTTCCCCTCTCTGACCAGCTTCCCCGTCTCCTGAATAAAAAGAAAAATCCCACAGCATCATTCTATCACCACCATGTCTTAACATGTCTTCAGTGGTTAAAACAAGGACCAAATATGTCGGGTCTTTTTCTCTGTAAATATATATTTTCATGATGTTCATAACCGTTGGCAGCACCCCTAGATCTCTGCACATACAAATTAGGAAAATGACTCCAAATAAAGTTATTTCCATAATTATATAAGTTATTTCTTGTTACTGATACCTAAGAATTTTCTTGCATGTGCCTTTAGGATGATTTTTTTTGGAAAATTAACACTAAGGTGTGTGCATTCATTATTATGGGTTCACCTAACCATATTAGAGTCTCCCTGTAGTTCATTGGTTTATCTATATCTGCTGCAGCAAACCTAGAGCAGGAGTTCCCATGCTTTTTCTTCAGCAGTGCAGTCTTCAATGTCTGTGTGCATAAGGGCAATTGCAGCTCAGTGTCTCGCTTCTTTTATTTCCAGAATTTTTTTTACTTCTTATCTTTCGGAAGTAACAGTAAGAATTTGTTGAAAAGGTTTCTTTGCTTTTACTAATCAGGCCACTCTGTTCAATAACTCGGTGAAGAGACCTATTTATGGGTAATCATTTAATATTGAAGAAGCTGATATTGATTTGCACATAGCTGCAGGAACGCTTTCTCAGTATTGATTGCAGCTGTTTACTTGGGTTTCCATCCATCCTTCCGCTTCCCCTTCTTCATGTGTTCAATATTTCTCCATGTCATTAAAGCTGCTTATTCGTCGCTTCATCTTGGGATTTCTTTACATTTAAATATTTTTTAGCTCTCTTTTGCATCTGAGGTTAACTTACTGTCAACAAAAACTGATATTTAGTGAGAAAAATGTAGATGTGTTTAAAGCTTATCTTTGCCCACTGCATTAGCAGAAACCATAATAACTCATTATCCAAATCCTCCACAGAGAGGAGCTGTTCAGCTGTCTTGGCGATGCAGCATCCACCCTGAGGTTTGGAAGGACATTAAGGGCATCCTGCTTCTGTAATCATCTGTGTTTTGATGTTGTTAATGAATAGTTCAAACAGCTTCATGCTCCTGCCATGGCTGTTTTCATTATACCTCTGTTTGTTGAGAGGCTCTGATAAAACACAGTGTGAATCTCTTTGCTACTTTTCATTTTTGTCTTGTGAATATTTTTTTTTTTTTTTTGTAAGTTTCTTTTTCAGACCATGACCCAGATGGAAACAGAATAGTTATAATGTGAGGGAGTGATTGTGTTTGCCAGTTTGTTTGGGTACCTTTCTGTATTCAAAAAGCCCATTAGTTTCAACAACTCAATCTTTTTTGCTTTCTCATTAGAGAGCAGGATCCCGCATTTTGACCAATTTCACAGGAGTAAAGCAAATCCAGTCACAATTTACATAAAATAATGCACTAAACCATCATCATACAATAGTTGGTTTGGTTTCCCTCAACCAACCCAGATCACTGGAAAAAAAACCACAAAAAATCAGAAACCTCGTAATTGATAGAGTACATATAAATTGGTAACATGTATGACAATACCCAGGTTTTTCTGCAATAAGGACAGTATCCTTTATCTTTGGACCCTCATTTAAATTTCTTGTAAATACAAGTTCAAATAGAGATAGGGTCACTGAACCTGCTCCTACAGAAGGCTGAGAACCACTTATCTGCAGTTCTGTTCAATGTGTGAACGGTAATACTAATAAATTGAATAGTTCATTGTCTCTAATAACCTGCTGATCTTACATTCTCCTAGGGAGTCTTATTCTTATGTATTGTATCAGCTGCTACTGCCATTGTTAAGCTTCTCTTCCTGTTTTATTCTTCTCTCCTTTTTTATTGCACGCAAGGTATCTCAAAACTTTTTAAAGTTTTAAGCTGAGCCTTAAAAGAACGCGGAGTGTCTGCCTTATGGCCTAAAAATAGATTTAATTTCAGAGACGCCCCTTAATTTATAATTCACATCCATTATATATTAACCGGGTGTGGGTAGAAAGTAGCCAACAGTTCTGCAAAAGGGTAGCACTACTTAGAAGTAAAACAAAGTAATACTTGTCAAAGAAATAATTTAAATAAGAGTAAAACTTGGTAAATCATTACTCGAATACTAAATAACTATCTCGAAACATCAAGTGTATTACTATAAAAAAAATAATGTAATCAGACAGACAGTTGTGTGCAAATTGTGATTATTTAAATTATGAAATAAAACAAATATTTAATATTACAAAAAGTGTCAAGGTAGAGGAAAATGTTTTCAATTTTTTTCTTTTTTCACTAGAAACTAATAAACCAATCTTTACAGTACATAATGTGCTTATGACAAAGAATCATGGCCTACAATATAATATTTTTTTAGATGATATTCAAATAGGTCAAGTTAATAGTGGTGAGTAGAGTAACCGAAAGGTGTATCCTTAAGTAAGACATCAAGTAAGACATGCTTATATTTTTGGTGATACTATCACCAAAACTCAAATATAAGTAAAAAGTACAGTAAAGAAAAACTACTCCTAAAAGTACATTTCTTACTGCAAATTCCTCAAGTAAATGTAACTGGTTAGTTACTACCTACCTTGTTTATAAACTGTATGTTTTTCTTTTTGTATCACTTTACTGCAAAAGGAAATTTCTTTTAAAACACGAATTGGCAAAAAAGATTTTATTTCTGATTCAAGCTGAAAAGTAATCAACTGATAGAGTTTGTGATTGCACAAGAATCTAGCCCCTCCCACTTCTTACTTCTTCTTGTGCTCCAACTCTGAAACTAGTCTGGAATCTTAACCTTTACTCGTCCGCAATTTCCCATATGTTACTATAAGTTTGTATAAAGTCCTCCTGGTCGTAGCGAAAAAAATTCGCAAAACAACGATCTGTAATCGTGCTGTTGAACCGAGTCTGTAATTATTCATCTCGTTTCAAATAAATTCGGTTCCATTCAATTCAGTTTATCGATGAAGCGTCAACACATGTCATCTCAAGGCACTTTACAGAGACAATTCAATCAGGACACACGGTTTGGTTAAAACTTTCTAAGGAAACCCAGCTGATTGTCATCCAGTGATTGGCTTGAAGGAATTATTCTTCCTGGATGAGTATGTCATAATAGTAGATATTCACTTGCATTTTATCATTGGCTCTGCAGTAAGGTGTTGGTGGCAGCAGCCCAGCTGATACTTTTCTCCAGGATGGTGTCACAGCAAAATAGGAACAGACCAGATAAAGCTACCGTGATTAGAGAAAGCAGAGATAGCATAAATAATAACTAATTTGGCAGAATGATGAAATAGGGGTCCTTATGTCCTCCAGCAGTCTAAGTCAATAGCAGCAGAACTATAGATATAGCTCAGGATAACCTGAGCCTCTCTAACTATAAGCTCTATCAAAAAGGAAAGTTTTAAGCCTACCCTTAAAAGTAGATAGGGTGTCTGCCTCACGGACTAAAACTGGTAGTTGGTTTCACAGGAGAGGAGCCCGATAACTAAGAGAGGTTCTACTTTTAGAAATTCTAGGAACCACTAGTAAACCTGCAGATTGAGAGCAAAGTGTTCTGTTAGGAACATGAGAAACAATCACTTCTCTGATATAAGATGGAGCTTGCCCATTTAAGGTTCTATATGTGAGAAGGAGGATTTTAAATTCTATTTTTGATTTAACAGGAAGCCGATGAAGAGAAGCCAGGATAGGAGAGATATGATCTCTCTTTTTAATTTTCATCAGAACTCTGGCTGCAGCATTTTGGATCAGCTGAAGGCTTTTAACTACAGTTTGTGGACTTCCTAATATTAAAGAATTACAATAGTCCAGCCTTGAAATAACAAATGCATGGACTAGATCCTGTCACCCCTGGACAGGATATTTCTAATTTTTGCAATATTGCCAGATGAAATAAGGACATTTTAGAAACATCTTTGATATGGGATTTAATGACGACAATATTTCTTTATATTATTATCTGAGATCAATTGACTGACTAATCAGCTTCTTTTTCAAGGACTCTGGTCCAAAGATGCCAACTTCTGTTTTGCCTTCATCCAAAAGTAGAACATTTAGCCTCAGGTCTTTATATCTTGAGATCAACCTCTCAAAGTGTTTAAACTCATATACCCTTTGTAAATCAACCCCATCTTACTACAATCGTTTACTCCCAAATCAATGAAATTGTATAAACAGAATGTTGTTAAACCTAATCTTAATATAATTCTTTTAATCAGCCATCTCATACAGCTGATGCTTCAAATCATCATCAGAGAAGAAAATATTACCAGCTTTATCAGTGAAAAGTAGGTTTCAGATATATGTTGATATATGTTACATTATTCAGGTCCCCACATTAAGCCCTGTGTGGCAAGGAGGACCAGCTTAACTATGATTGAGAAAACATAAATAAATCGATAGATAAGCAAAATGCATATTTATGGACATTATAGAGCTGCAATTATTCATCTTCATAAACTGCTGCCTAATTGACTTATTTCTACATTTGCATCTATATATCAGGGTCAGTTGTATCATGTACTGTATGGTTTTGTAAATAAACAGAAATAACCATTAGACATTTTAATTTTATGCAGAGAAACTACAACTATCAGGTTAAGCAAAGTAATACTTAAAATGTTCTGAGGGCTCCTGAAAATACCTGATATTGTTAATCTCACATTAATTTATTGATGAAATAAGAGAGCTAGAAGATAAGCGTCTCGTTACTCGACATGATACCTTTACCGCACCGTAAAGTTGATCAGGTACACATGCCATTCAATTTTAGGCTGCTGAACCTTCGAGCATTGCATGCTTTTAGTGAGCACACTGCATAGTTAATACACTAAGCTCTAACTGTTGTTATAAGCTTTGTCCAAAGCTTATAGTCATGTTCTTTTGCCCAAATACTACCATCAAGTAAATAGATTTTTAGGAGAAATTTTGTTAACTCAAAAGAACAGTTAAATGTGCTGTAGGACAAAAATGTGTGTAAAAGCATTTAGCCAGCATTTTTTTCTTTTGTTTTGTTTATCTATTATATAGCGCATACACAACTGGTACTTTATATATCCCCCATAACAGTGTGCTTATGACCCAGTTTTGTTTTAATCACATCTTAGTGTCAGGCTAGTGTCACATCTGTGAATGCACAGACTGTATAACCTAATGAGTGTGCCAGTCTGAGGACATGTGACCTGGCACCGATGTTAGCTGAATTATAAAATGGCATGTTAACACTGTGTTTACAGGCTTATGGCTTCGATAAACTGCAAGTGAAGTGTATCAGAAAACAGACATTTAGATTTTTTTGTCTTGTAATACTTTTTAAAAGATTTGTTGGCAGCGACCCAAAGAGCTGCCCGAAAATAAAAGCTGCTTAAAAAATGTTGCATGTCAACTTTGGGCATTTTTCTCCTTATCTTTAATGCAGAGGCTTTACAGACAGTGTCACAAATTCACCTTTTAAGTAATAAAGATAATAAAGAAATGATATGAGAGTCCAGCTGAACATCTTAAGAAGTGTTCTGTAGATGAGTTTTTGTCAGTCTAGCTGATGACAGTCTTTCTAAAGGTATAAAACTATTGAATGTGATATTGTTGGTATAAATTCTTATCCTCAACATTTTTTACAACGCCAGCTCTATTTTAGTCACCTAGATGTACAGTGCGACCATGTCATTTCATTTTGTCCGGATCTCCTCTTTATTCCTTGTGTTATTAGATCATGTTCTCTATGGTGTAGTCTGTTGAGGCAGCAGATTACGTACAGCAAAGAGAAAAAGGTTGGATAAACTCTAAACTGATCAAGGGGGCTGGCTCTGTCCCAGGATGCTCCCTCCCCCCATAGAAGGTGGTAGGAGACAGAAGAACTCTTAGGAAAAGAACATCACTATCAGTAATGTCACTCAGCCCTGCATGAAGCTGCTCTAGAACTGGAGAGCTCCTGCACTTAAAGACTGGTGCACTCACTAACCAAAAAGGTGCGCTTGTGTAGATTTTCACTCCCAGCAGCAGGTAAACTTTATACCCTCTGCTGCTGGAAACAAACTTAATAAATCTGTATATCTCTAATGTTTTTGCAGTCTTTTTTTATTGTTATTATTAAACTCTTAGTGTTCTTAGTGCACAGGTTTTGCACAACTCTAAAAATCCCAAGTTGCACACAGCTTTTAATTTTTGAATATTCTGTTTCTTATAACAACTCTTATGTATTTCTTAAAGCTACAGTGTGTAATAATTACAGGGATATACAGTCAGAAATGTAATATATTATACATAACTATGTTATTTATCATCATCTACGAGCTCAGCCTCTTAACCTTAATATTTGCGTTGCCTTAGAATTCGTTATTTATAATTACATAGGAGCGGGTCTCGCAGCCATGGAGGCAGACATCTTTGCGCTACGGCAGCAAAGCCAACAAACTAGCGATTGTGAGATCGCCAAAACGTCACAACGATGTAGAAAAAATAACGGGTATATTTATTATCTCAAGTCTACATGAAATCTATACCCTACACAGACTAACGAAATACTATCTGTAAAATGATCTATGTAAACAAACCTCATCACTTGAGAAGGTAGGTGATGCGGACGTCGTGGAAGACATTTTGTCCCGTAACGCTCGCCGTACTGTTGGGGGGGAGAAGCGGTGGGGGGGAGATGTTCATGTTGCTGCAGTCTGCAGTCTGACCGCTAGATGTCGCTAAAAGTTACACACTGTAGCTTTAATATGTTGCAAGTTTCCCCCTTTATGCACAGTCTCATATTCAGATTTGTTGTTTCTATGTTTTCCCTTTGTGTCTATCTGCAGGCTGTCATTGCTGCTGGGACACATGAATTTCCCCACTTAGGGGAGTAAAGGTTACTTCTATGCTATTCTTTTCTATTCTTTCTTGATTCGATGCCCTAATTTGTTATGATAGAGTGATATCATATCCCCTGCTTTTTTGAGAGGGTGTTTTTTTTCTTCATTTTTATGTTCTTTTTTATTTTTTACAAAATGTGTTGTTTTCTTACACATTTCCAGCAGACGTGTGCACATTTCCCGATATTTTAGAACCCTATATACCACGTCTGACATAATTTTCTTTTTATTTTCACAACTTAGCATAAAATTGAACGATTTTTCAATAGACCAAAAATATGTTTTTTTCTCTCTCTATTTTTTTTATTATTTCAGTTTAAAATGTTGAAAAAGTCATAATTCTGACTTTAATCTCAGAATTCTGACTTTTTTCTCATAATTCTGACTTTTTTCCTCAGAATTCTGACTTTAATCTCAGAATTCTGACTTTTTTTCTCAGAATTCTGACTTTTTTTCTCAGAATTCTGACTTTCATGTCAGCATTCTGACTTTAACCTCATAATTCTGACTTTTTTTCTAAGAATTCTGACTTTAATCTCAGAATTCGGACTTTTTTCTCAGAATTCTTTTTCCCCACATTAAACGGCAATCAAATTTAGAAATCAGCTAACTTTTTTATTTTTTCAGTGGCTCTAATCTGTACGTTTCCTTTTTATTGCCCTTTTAGTAACACAGGAACAAACCTGGAGGAGCGTGCTCCACACGCGCACGCGCGCTCTCGCGGATCAATCACGGCCTTGTTTGTTGCAGCTGCTCGAGGCTTTTACCTCCACCCTGACCAGTCATTCACGCTCCTCCTCCGGCGGACCGTCCTCATGGCAACGCACACACGGAGGAGAGCAGCTTATCAACGCAGAGAGGCAGAGCATCCCCGCAGGTCCAGACTGCGCGGTGCCACTGATATCAGAGGCAGGAAGGAAAGCAGCTGCGCTTCTGGGAAACTACCTTCAAGCTTTTACATTATAGTAAGATTCTTTTCTCCTAAATTACATTTTATTAAAAGGTGTTATGCTGACTGTAAAGCTCTCCGTGTATTGTGTACCGTAGTTGCGGAATGAAGCTGCATGTTTGTAAACGCTTGGATGTGATGTGCTTTTCCAGGCAGGATGAAGTTTATGATCGTGCTGGTGGGAGCGGGCTCTCTAGCCTTTCTCGGCGCTGTCATCTGCATTATCGCCAGTGTTTACTCCCAAAAACGCGGCGTGACCTCCGGCGACAATGCCACCATGACTTCGGAGGCGCTGATCCAGCCTCTGGAGCCCGGATCGGTGGCTCATGCGGGACCGCTGGGCGCGCTGCACGGACCGGGCTCCTTCGATGGAGACAACGGGCTGGGCGGGATGGATCTGGAGGTCCCCACGCTGAACGAGCTGAACCTCGGCAAGGATAGCGGAGGTGGGTCGGGGAAGCAGTACAGCTTCAGCCGGTTGGTTTGCACTCCTCTACCTGTTGGAGATTGTAAGAGCAAAGATGTGAGGCAGAGCAGGGAGCAGCAGCAGGATGAGCCGCTCTACGGGAACGGAGAGGAGGACCTCCGGATGACAGCGGAGAACCTCCGGCAGATGGTTTTACAGCAGAACGATCAGATCCTCATGGACCAGAGAACCATCCGAGAACTGACGGGGAAGCTGAGCGAGTGTGAAAGTGGCCTGGAGGATGAGAGAACCACGCCGGCGCGGAGTGTCGGGGTGTGGAGCGGTGGCCGCCGCATCATGGCCGGAGACGATGTGAGCTCCTCCGCAGCGGCGCAGCTGCAGACGGCCCGGGCAGTGGAGGAGCTGGCCAGGGCCATCATGGACCTGAAGGACCGGATAGAAAAACTAGAGGTAGGACTGAGTTTGACTAAAGAAAAGTACATTAATTTAGCCATTTATAGGGCAAGTTACCGTTTTCGATCACCCTTACAAATGGAGTCCCCCAGGGGCGGCGCTGGATGGGGGACCATGGCCACCCTTAGCCAATCTGTGGCCACCCCTACCATTTATTTCCTTCTTATACAGATGTTGGCAATATTAATAATCTCAAGTGGAATATTCACAACATTTGAATTTTTCATATATTAACAATTACTTGACAACAAAAACACTGTGGTTAATTATGTATATAAATACACTAACATTAAAAATGATAAGTACAGAATTCAAGCAGAAATAGATTTTGTGTTTTATGGGGTAAAGAGAAAATGATGTGTCTCTGCAAGTCAACCAGAAGTCTTCAGTCAAATCATAGATAAATAACTATTTTAATAAAAACTTATTAAATAATCAATTTATGTAAATATTAGTACTTGTAAATATCAATGTTATGCAGAATGATTACTGATAAAAGTAGGTAAGTAATGACAATGGAAAAGATGTTTGCCCCAGAACTCAAACCTGAAAGAATTGTATCCACTATACCTTTTATCTAGAATGCACGGATGTTTAAATATATTCATCTATTTGTTTTACCAAAGGTTGAAGGAAAGTATAGTTTGTCTTTATTTAGAAAATATGGATGTTTTGATTGTTAATTTTCCTGTTGGAACAGTGTAGATTGACCCTGAGGTTTTGGTGCCACCCCTCAGTGTACACTGGTTATTGTCTGGCAACCTTATACGTAAAAATTTCTGGCTACGCATCTGGAGTCCCCCCTCCCCCGTCCTTCAGTGAGGTGTAGAAGCACAAGATCTATATGCAGCCATTCAGCAAAGATACTGCTACATGGCTGTACATCTTATTTTGGCATTTGACCAATTAGATGTGCCCTCGAATGATATATTACCTACTGTAAATTAAGTTGAAAAGAAGTTAACAAGTAAAACAAAAAAAAGGTAAAAAGCTAATTGAAAAGTTAAAAAGTTAATAAGCAACAATTATATTTAGATTTATAAATAAAAAAAATGTAAGTGCAAGTATCAGCATAAATGTCTCCAAGGTTATGTTTTACAAAAAAAAAATGTATTCGGGCAAGTTGGCGTTTCTTGTTATTACATTGACATGAATTTTTGCCATCAAAATATCCATATTTTTTTAATGTTACACTAAAAAATTCAAATCCAAGCAAGTATTTCTTTCTTAAAATAACTGCATTTTTTATTCAATTGAGGGGGTAAGTGAGACATTTTGCTAAAGGAACAAGACAATTTACATTTAAAATAGGAAAAAAAACTGTTGTGTTGTCTTATTACAAGTGCATTTTATCTAATGATCTTTTTCTAATAGTAAAACTACTTATTCCATTGGCAAATCATCTTATTTACATACTCAAATTAAATGTAAATATGCTCAATTTAAGAACTTTTTACTTATTTCTAGATTGTTTTTTGCAATGTACAAAGGTAATAAGGTCTTGTCCTGGATTCCAATAACACTATTGGCTTGAAATGTAATAGTATTTTACTAAGTGCCCTATAAGGAGTTAACATTGACTAAACTTTTCGTTATTGGTTGTAATTACAGAGGCCTCACTTAGTTTTAGAGGAGAATAAATAACAAAGAGTATTTATTTTGGTGACTCGACATTTAGAGAAAGTAGAATCAACTTGAAACCTGTAATGACCATGATTTGAATTAAAGGCCGTCTTATTTTCATTGTTAAATAAAAAAAAGTGTTTTTTTAAATGTTTTGATATCATAACGGTTTAAACCCAAACTGTTTTTCAGATTTTGAAGTGACAGTTTGCTGTCATATTTAGGGAGATGCAATTTAGCACAATGATATTGAAATAAATAAATGCCTCAAATCCGTGAAGCCTTTAATTTTTGTATGACATTCACATAGAATTTGTTAGAACTGAGGAGTGAGTTTAACGATCCCTGTAACTCGATTATGTCACAGTCTTAAATGAGCCACACCTCCATACATGATACAACATTTAAGGGAACTAGCTTTACACACATCAATGACTCTTTAAAATTTTTTTTTTCTTTTTTGTAGTTTTTTTATCCTAATTTTCTGATTATAAAACACATAATGTAAAAATGTTATTTTTACCTGACTCTGGGTCTCTATAAAATGATAAGCATAAAACTGCAATAAAGTGGACTAATTTATTCCTAATTGGTTGCAAATTCCTTAGCGTACACTTTGTAATCTGTGAGATATTAACACGTTGCTATATGAACACGTTTATGAACAACAAGCAAAAAACCAACATTTAAAACATTTAAAAATTGTCTGAAATGCATTAGCAGCTGGACTAATAAAATCTTTTCCGACGTGTTTGTGTGAAGCCAGTATAATGTATTTTTTCATAAATCTATCATTTTGTTACTAATGCTATTTTCCAAACCCTTAAAACAACTTCAAAGCTCTTCAACAACAAATAGAAGATATCTGTATTTTTTCTTGGGCGCCCCCTGCTGGCCTGAATGTCCTAAGCAGCTTCTTTGCTTTTTGCATGGGAGACTGCGGGAACTGGTTTGATCAATTATGATAAATTAATCAGATCAAACATTATTTAAAATCCAGGAAACACATTAGAATATCCCACTAGTTTCTTTCCTGTATTGTTTTCTATTTTATGCTTTGTTGCACAAGCTGCATCTATAGTCCTCCCCTCTCCTGCGCTCTGAAAACCAACTCTTGACACAAATGCCCATCATGCCTTTGTTCACGTTCCCACAGACTCATGGGAAATCTATACTTTCACCTATACTGGTCCTCACACCCCAGTGTGCCCCACCTCCCATTATTTCAGCTGCCTCCTCAGCATCCAACGGCAGGACAGTGGGATGAATAAAACATGAAGATAGCCGGACAGGAAAAAAAAGGCTGCCGCTGGTGGTTTGGGGTCTAGGGACTGAGTACGTGCATCAGGTTTGTGTGAATGTGCTGAGACTGACAGACACTGTTATCCACACACACACACACAGGTCCTGCTGCATTACAGCCAGCCCCCAGAAAGCTCAGTCACAAGGTTGTCTCCATCAGTGTGAATTTATATCCTTGATGTCAAGATGCAGCGCTACCTCAGCAGCTGTCTTGATATTATATATCGCCCTCGCAAATGTTTCATCCAGTCTAACAGCTTTGCCTCCTTTTACGCAGCCTCACCAACACCTTATTTAACTTCTGCTTTTGCATCTAAATAGCAGATGGGGTGATTATCAGCACAGCAGGGTTAGGGTTTAGGAAGTTGTTCTCTCTCTTTAACATGGCCACTGGTCTAAACCGCAAAGAGGAAAAATGACAGATGCATCTAGAATATGACGTGCATGATTTCATCTTAATAAAGGCTATTTATGCTGAGGTTTAATCTAAAGTTTAAACCTTTAAGGTCTTTAGATACGGATCAAATAAAATAAATGACTAAGCTTAATTAAAATCTTTTAGAAGTACAACATTACAAACCTCAGATAAATCTTTGTACACACATCTGTTTTAAAGAAGTGCAGTCTAAGCAATGTCCCGACTGTTTTAGACAATATTTGGAATGATTGCTTTATGCATCTTATGGTTATGATCTGCAACAAATTTCAAAATGCATTTGACGTGTGACGAGGAACACATAAAACCTCTGCTATTATCACTGCAACTAACTAAATATTGAGCCATATGTCTTTAACTTGTTAACTTTGACACAGTACTGCCTGCATCATGCTATGGGGTGGTGTCTTTTTTTTGTTGCTGGGATGGGGTTTGTGCTGAATGGAATGGTTTAGATCATGCATGCAGTATAGAGCAGCAAAAAGGTGATTGGCTCACTGCTTCCCTATATAATTAGTGGAAATTGTTGTGGAGATTAATAATTCACCAAATTTACTTTTAAATCCCTTGAGTTAGGATCTTCTGGAGGTTTCTTCTTGTTAAAGGGGAGTTTTGCCCTCCATTGTTGCTAAATGCATGCTCTGTGTAAGTGATGGCAGCAAAATCAAAGACACAATGCAGGTGACTGATTGTCCACTATCACCTTATGCATTACATTGCATTCATACAATCTAAAAATCAATGGCTGGATGTCATCAGCTGGGTTTCCGCAGATATAAAACTTTTAACAAATCAATGTGAATGATTTGACTAAAATGACTGTAAAGCTCACGTGTTGGGAATTGGTGTTATCTAATAAACCTGAACTGAATGTCCTCCGCCCAACACCACAATGTTATACTCATGAATAATCATTAGCGTCTGACTTTTGCCAACTGAAATGACATCAGCTCACATTTCTATATTAACTCATTCTTAAAACATAGTCAAACCAAACAGCCAGGAACTAGATTTAACATTTAGATACGGATTAGCAAAGATGTTCAAAACAGTTCAGTTTGTTTGTCAGTTATAACATGCAAGTTTATTTATATATTTTTCCCGTTTATTTTTGCACAAAAATCTAAATAAACTGAAACCACTGGAGCAGATGAGAAATCCTTTTCTGTTCCTGCATAAAGTATATCTGTGGCAAAACTGTTTTTGCTTCTTTGGCTGGTTGCACATTCTTTGTTATGCTGTTACTTTTTTTTTTTCTCTGCACTGCTGCTGCTAATGTCTTTTAACTCCATCCTGCAGGCTGAGATCGGCCCCGGAGCCTTAAACCTCACAGATACATCTGTTGGTGTAAGCAGCACCAGTAGCAGCAGCAGCAGCAGCAGCCAGACTGGGAATACTGTCAAGACTCCATCACCGTCCACTAGTGGCGCTCCCTCAACAGCAGCAGGGGCTGCCTCAGGGGGGCGTCGTCCTGCTTCCCTACCCTCCCCTGGCTCCAGGCCTCCTTCTTCCAAGGGTTCCCCTGGCCGAGGAAAGAGCACCTGGAGGGTGGAGGACCTGGAAGGGGAACTGGAGAGAAAGATAAAGATGCTGGAGAAGGAGCGACAAGCCATGAGGAAGGAGACGCACGGCCAACATGAGAAGATCAACAAGGGCATTGACAACGTCAACCACCGCATCACAGAGCTGGAGCACAGTGAGTCTGTGGGAGTAAACTGATACACATGAGGACGAAGATAACTGCATCAGGATGCTGACATGAAAGCAATGAGAGAGAGAGAGAGAGAGAGAGAGAGAGGTCTGAAATGAAGTTTAACAAGCACCGCGGGTGAACTGGGTCATCACAGCAGCGGAAAATACACTGATGATGAAAATATGACAGATAATGAGTGCAGAGGGTTATAAAATGTCAGGCAGGGACTGAGGGGGGTGCTAATAATTCAGCTAAAAATAGATTAAATGAAATGTAACACAATTTCTTCATTTAAATCCCCTAAAGTCAATAACAAAAACAAAAGGGAATTTAAAGGACACCATGAATTAAATATTAATTTTGTTTAGGTTCAACAAAGGGTTTGAATGAAATAATTGTTTTCATTTGCATATTTATCCAAACACTTACTTAGAATGAGACAGGAGCTTATTTTCAGTACTAAGGTGTAAAAAGGTTTCACATGCAAGGATAAAACTGGATAAGTAAGAATAACATTTGCTCTGTTTTCCAAAGTCCCTAAAAATCATGTTTGGCATAAATTTCAAATGGAGTAAAGGAAAAGTAGAATGGAGGGAAGGAATTAATAGGGAAGAGGGGAAATGAGAAAGAGAGTGCAAAGACACAACGATGGAGGATAGAGATAATAAGCGACAGACAGAATGGAAGAAGGATGCAAAGAGGCAAATAAGAATGGGAGGAAGGAAAAAAAACGAAGGAAGTTAGAAATTATACAAAGCAGGAATGACACGACTTTTAAAGATGGAACATGGAGAAAAGCCTGGATTGTTTTTTTGCTCTCTAATTTTTCCCCATACTGATCCAGACCTGAATAAAAAACAAAACAAATCAGATGTTAAATTTCTCTGACCTCAAAGACAGAGAAAAAAAATCTAAAACTTCACTACTGTGTTACATATTCTCTGAAATAATTTAAGTAACAAGAGTGTCTAATTTCCCCTCAAATTAAATAGAAAAACAAAATCACTGAAAATAATTGCATCAAACAGGTTTTAATGTTTTAATGAAATAAACACCTGTCAGCCAGTCTTCTTTGGTGCATCCTGCTGACTGACAATCTCTCTTCATTTCCCTGATCCAAAGCACTGACAGAGCCTCCGTTCCCTGACGGCTTTGTCCTCTCCTTTCCCATGAGGACCAACTACATGTACGGCCTGGTGAGAAAAGAGATAACCGAGATGTACGCCTTCACTGCCTGCATGTGGCTCAAGGCCAAAGAGGGAGGCATCGGAACCCCCTTCTCCTACTCTGTGCTGGGACAGCCTAATGAGCTGGTGCTGCTGCAGGGAGTCCACAATCCTGCAGAGCTGCTCATAAATGACAAGGTAGAGGGGTTTTCTCATACCTATCGGGGTTAAATGTTGCTCGCATCTCTCAGAATGAGCCTACAAATTACTTGCTATATACCCATTGGGCTGAAGTTGAACAAAATAAAGTTAAAGAAAGAAAACAGAAAAAAGTTATCTATCTATTTACAGAAATAACTTGAGATTTCTTGTTAAAAGTCTGGGCTAAAGCAAGAAGAAATCAATAGTGCAGAAATGGCTGAGTAGCGCTGGCTTATTTTGATTTAAACAAGACAAAAACGGATTCCAGAAAGGTGAATAACCTCAGAAAAATAAAAATACTAAAACCATTCAGAGGAGAAAGGTAAATAAAGTCATCTATTATTGTTTGCAGAGGTAGGAGGTAACTCAGCCCTCAGGGACATTTTTTGGACGGAAAGATGTGCACCAGTGCTTAATTGCTACTGAAAAGCCCCAAAGCATGGCATGCATTTTTATTTGCTTGTTTGTGTTAAATATTATTGAATGAAATTCAGTTTAGTCAATTTTCTACAGAAGATACCCTGTTAGTGAGTATGTCCACCTATATGTAATATAATGTCAGTTCAAATGCTCACCATTAGTGAACAAACAGCATCATGACAGGTCAGGGTAAGGTATTCAGCAGGAGGGGTGAATGAAAGGCCACAAAAGACTCGAAACTTAAAAGAAGTTTAAAATAGCAGCAAAACAGTGTCTTTACAGTTCAGCATCCAGTCATAATGCAGGTAAACTTAACCTCAGGAGCTTATCACAACCTCTATGTTTGTGTTGTTTTACCCTCAGGTGGCGCAGCTTCCTCTGTCTCTACCCCAGGATGAGTGGCAGCACATCTGCGTCAGCTGGACTCTGAGGGATGGAGTGTGGAAGGCCTACCAGGGGGGGAAGATGAAGGGAAGAGGAGAGGGACTAGCTGCATGGCATCCTATCAAACCTGGAGGAGTCCTTATACTGGGACAGGAACAGGTGGGATGGATGGATGGATGGATGGATGGATGGATGGATGGATGGATGGATGGATGGATGGATGGATGGATGGATGGATGGATGGATGGATGGATGGATGGATGGATGGATAGATAGATAGATAGATAGATAGATAGATAGATAGATAGATAGATAGATAGATAGATAGATAGATAGATAGATAGATAGATAGATAGATAGATAGATAGATGTAATGCTGAATAATTAAAACCTGAGTGATGAATGAGTAGCAGTAGCAGATAACCCTTGTGCCTCGTTACTGCTGCTTATCCTTACACTGGGGTTTCCACACTCCTCTCCTTCATTAGTGAGTCAGCTACATTACATAACCATTACAAAATCTTATGTGTTCCCTCCACCCTGCTGCCAAAGAGAAACAACTCTAAGCTTGTTCTGTGGTTCATCGTCCTTGCACCAAGGACGTAAAGCATAAAGCAGGGCTCCCATTTCAGCAAAATGATGCACCAATGCGAAAAGAGTTGATTTGATGGATAGATGTTCGAGGGAACCAGCATTATATTAATCTCTGCTGCAAACAGCTGATGGATTGCTGTTGTACGGGTGTGTTGACTAGATTTTATTGGAAAAAATACCAGCATATCCTCCCCTCAGGAGGCAGCTCTGGACTGGAATAAACATTTTTAATCTTATTTTTTGTAGAATCATCATAATTCAGTGTTTCTGAGGCTTAGGCTTTTGATCCCTTTTCATTACTATGGGACCAGGATGGAGAACACCGTAGTAAACACGTTTCCTGACAGCACTGTCGCTCTTCAGCTAGATGTACAGTAGGTCAGTGTCAGCATGATGTCCATGTTGATAAAATGAAGGATTAAAAAAGAGTTGCACACATTTAATGATGCTGGTAAGCCTTTAGCATCATCATGTGTTTTCTTTTACCTGGGGGAAAATTCACAAAGAAATAAAAATTTTAAGTAATTTTTGAGCTGTACTTTCAGGCCTAATTTTGGTTTGGTTTCTAAAAAATATGAAATTGAGTGTCACTTTCCTTCCATTTTTTGTTCAGCTTTGAATGAGCTTCACTTTGTGCGGGTTTATCACATAGAAACAACTAATATATACGAGATTGTGGTGAAATATAAATAGTTTTACAAAATAGTGCATCAAATAAAAAGATTTAGCTGTTTGGTTTGACGGTTGTTTATTTCTCAACCCAAGGACACCCTCGGCGGACGTTTTGATGCCTCCCAGGCATTGGTTGGGGAGCTATCCCAGTTCAACTTGTGGGACCGGGTTCTGAAACCCGCTGAAGTGGCCGCCCTCGCCGACTGCAGCTCCACAGCGCTCGGCAACATCGCCCCCTGGACCGATCAGGATGTAGACGTCTACGGCGGTGCCACCAAGGAGTCTCTGGATCCCTGCCATGCGGCCCAGAGATCCGGTCCCTCCGACCCCAAACAGTGAAAAAAATCACAAGGAGGAACCGGCCAATCGGGGCTTTGTTAGATGGTCTGTTTAGGAGTCGATTCAGATGTTTAAAGGTGGATCAAACTGGAGTTAAGACTATATTTGTTTTAGGGCAGACAGGGAACTTGCAGATCAGCTTGCAGAGTGTGCTACAAAGCTGTAAAGAGTGGTGTATCTGTTTTGTTGTTTGTGTTGGTGTACACGCACATGTGTTTACTTCTGCAGTGAGATACAGCGACTTCAGTCACAGAATCACTTAAGGCAGCATAGTGGATCAGCTTCCGGCCTTTACAGCGTCAGTGAGGATGCTTCTTATAGAGAAATAATATCTCCACTCATTTAACCTTACAAGATTCCATAGGCAGAGGATTTCAAGGCTTTGTATTTGGTTTTGTAAAGAAGCTGCAGTCATGAGATATCTAAGGTTTTTATAAGTTTACATCACAGTGACACAGCGTTCTGTCTACTCATCATGTGTACGCTTCAAATTAAACCTAAGATGCTCTTGTGCTATTATTGACTTTTCACTCTGTTTTTTTTTTTTTACTCTGTATGTTTTTGTTGAGTAACTGTGATTTTAAGTTTTCTATAAAGCACAACTTGATGTGCCAGTGTAGTGTCCTATGGGTCATGTTGCTCTGTTCTAGTCTGCTCTGCCGTTAGCCTGTCCTATACTTCACTTTCCCACAGTTGAGGTGGGAAATTAAAATTTGCTGCTGCTTAGTGCAGATGTGTCTTTTGACTTCTAAAATAAACACACTGTTTCCCAAGCTGCTTAGCAGACACAAGCATTATGATGTGTTTGACAAAACGACAATAGTGTTGAATGTAAACCAGATTAAATAAGTATGTCTGCATGAGTGTTTGCTGTTTGTAAAAAAAAACAACAAAACATCTATAATGAAAATGTTCACAGATTTCACATATCTGAAAATTACAAACTTGTAATGGCGGATTGATTCTCCTGTCAAAAAGAAATCTGATGTCACGGTGCAACAGAATCTGTAGTCATCTAACAAATGAAACCTCATGCTTTTATCTAACAGAAAGAGACAAGCAAATAAACAGAAGAGATGCTTTTTGAGATGCTCTATCCTGCTGCCTCCTGTTGTGTCTGAGTTTGTCAACTATTCCTCACTTACTTCACACTGGGGTATTTCATCTAAAAGCATCCCAAAAAATATTTGACACATTTCTGCAGATTTTTTCACAGCGACAGGCTGTGTTTTCAGAACACAGCCTGTCGCTCTGGGTCACTGAACAGAACCCCCAGATTACTTCCTGGCGCTTTAAGCTGCTCCCTCTAGAGCAGTGGGCAGAGGTCACATTTCATCGTAATGTAACCAATAAAGCTGATTATTTTTATCCTTGTCATCCTTATCCATTACTTAATATATTAATTTATAATGAAAACCATATGACCATGTCAGGCTATCTGATGTTGAATTCATAGCTAACAGCTTCTTCAGTTATATCTAGTTATAATTCTTAGACACCATCTGTTACCAAAGTAAAGCTGTTGGTGAAATTATGCCTATTATCATTCAATTTAAAATTGAATGCACTAAATTAGGATTTCAGTGACTGAAATGGCAAAAAATTCTGAATTTACAAATCAATTCTGTATAACTTATTATATTTTACAAATTTCTAATTAAGATCCAAACAAAAATATACTTTGTTTCTAATATCTTTGCCTATTATTCTTATTGCCACCTTGCCAGACAGGACCCTGTAAAAAAAAAAAAAAAAGATATATATCTTTGCCTAACGTAGATATAATGTATGAACTAATAGTATCTAAAACTTGACTTATGGGATAAAATCCCATCACACTTTTACAGTACGTGCTGTGTGGCGGTGGAAAGAGTGCAAAAAAAACAAGTAAATATCAAAATGATTTAAACCAAATTTTCCTTTATCTAAAAGTCACTTAGTTACTTTTTGTAAGCAGAAAAAAACATCATTCTGGTCCATTTTGTAAAGGAAAAGAAGGGATGTTGGCCTTAAACTATTAATCAGCTAAAAAAAAACTAACAGCTGCAATAAATATGCTTTATTATTAAATTTATTAAAATCTAAAAAAAATCAGCACTGGTTTATATGATTAAATGGTAAAATACCTTTTCTTGTATAACCTTTAATTTGCTTCTATTTTCCATATATTCAGTCACCCATGCATAAACCCCTACCCTGGCATATGCCGAGTTTGGTTTTAGATTTATTTTTGTTTCATTGTTTATAGTTAACAAATTACATACACAAATGTGATCCATTCTGTACCAAACATGTACTTCAACATATTTAATGTTATAGAAATTCCAATTGCAAATGATTGAGAAACAAATGAATTATCATAGATTGTCGACCCCTTAAGTAGCCTTACCGCCCTCTGTCCTCCCCAAATAAAAATAAGATAATGATAATAAATAAGAAGCATGTAATGTTGTTTTGAGATAGCTTTTTTAATGGCGGAAACTGTCTGGCTTTATATACAGCAGCAGCCATTCAACCAAATGCCAGCCGAATGGCAGCCCACTTCCCTACAACTCCCAGCAATATCCCCAACTTGGAGTGACCCCCTCTTGCATATTTTTTCACCCTGACTCCACCATTTCACTGAATCACAGGAGACCAGGAGATAACATTTCTCTTTAGATCTTAAAGTCAACAATTTATGACAGAAAGAATATTTTAGTAAACAGATTGATCTTTAAAAAGGAATTGTAGGGGACCAGCCAAGGACCCATCAAGGAAAATAGGGAAGTTTTGAATGGGTACTATTGTACTGCCTCTGACAATAGGAAAAATAAAACATAAGGTGAGATATCTTATTTCTTTCTTAAGCACAAAGAATTAAAGGTGTGAAGCCAAACTTTGCAACTCAAGAGTCTGAACCTCTCTTGAATAAACTGTGAAAACGTTTTATCCATTCAGCTCAGCACTGGTCCAGCAACATGAGAATCACTGATCTTAAATAAACTTTGTGACGTTTCATCTGCTCTGTCAATCATAAGACCATTTGGAGTGTCGCTGATATAAAACAGCAGGACATAGTGTAATCCAGATGTCCCCACAGGCTTCAACACAGATGGGTGTAATTAATAATTTTATTATATTGTGTTCAGATTACATAAACAGCATTTTTACAATCAAGATGGCTGTGATAACACATGTGTGAGATGGTGGGATTGCTCAGCAGAGACACCCCAGAAAGTCTGGTCTTGGAAGTAGACATAAGCCGTTACTCATGCCTTTAACAGGGGCCATGCTGATTCGTGACTGCTGATCTACCCACACATTTCTTGTTAGCTGAGATGTAACCTCCCACTGATAATAACACAATATAACTATACTGATGTCATTTCCTCCTGTCTTTAAGAGCTAATTAAAAACTTTCAAATAAATACACTAAGTGTATGTTTTGCTATCATTCATGCTCTTGGTAAACTAAATAAGGTTGCATGTAGTTTTAATATCTCATTTAACCTTTGGAGTACAGTCACTGACAGTCATTAGCCAGTCACACAGTTAGATAATCAGCCAGAAGATATTTTGTTTCCTTCACAGCAATTTTTTTTTTATTCTTGGCTCAATCTTCTGTTTATATCGCCTTTGTCACAGCTTGTTAGCAGAGTCACATGGGGTCTTCCTCTCCCTCTCCCAACAATCTGCTTCCTCTGCTGCTGAATTATAGATACAGCCTACCTTCATTACCTCTCCGAGGGAGGTAGTTTATGATAAAGTGTCAGCCCACCCAGCTTTACTGGCTTAAATATTAATTTATGCTGTGAATATTCCTCATTCTGTGTTTTATTTCGAATTGCCAGCAGCATTTAAATGGGGCATAATAAGTTGAAGCTTCCTCCTGACTACAGGGATAACAGATGGATTTTTTTGTGGCTAAACACCTCAGCTCAAGGCTGTGAAACCTACTGTTGAGCCACATCCATGTAATTTGAATACAGTTATGTATAAAAAACAAAAGAAATACATTTAATTTTTAAAAATTGGTTTATGTGGATGTTTTGTCTTTACTTCTTTTTAAAGTGACATCATTACAAATTAGAGACTGACACGGGAGTGGATTTTCACTCCTGTCCCATCCCACTCCCACAGAAAAAAATGGTGTCCCGTCCCGATCCCGGGCCAAAGTAGAAATTTTAATCCTGTCCCGTCCCACTCCTGGTGAAATTACTCCCACTCCCATCCCGCTCCCATTCAGAATGACTCCCGCTCCTGCACCACTCCCATTCTTGTTGTTTTTGAGCGCGGGTGAAAGACTCGGAGCGGAAGTTACTATTGGTTTGCTCCCGCCTGCTCCCGTTAATGTTTAATCCTGTACCGTCCCAATCCCGTGATCGTTACTAATACTGACTCCCATCCCACGGGAATCCCACGGGAATCCCGTGACCCATGGGATTCCCGAAAAAATGTCAGTCTCTATTACAAATCAGCACATGACGGTCTCTTTGAAATCCTCCTGAAAAAGTTCTGGATTGTGTCTGTTTAACATACAAGTTTTGTCAGGATTTGGTTATGGATTGTTGACCCAAAAGCAGAGACAGGAAGGCAGAGGTGAATTTCTAGGTGATTAAATGAAGGTTCACTGAAAACAAAGGCAGGTAATCCAAAAAGAAAATAAAGTCCAAACTAACAGGAAACCAGGTGTCCAAAAATCCAAAAATCAAACAAGAAAACAAGTCAAAGCGAACCAAAAACCATGGAGACATCAGGGGGAATAACTATCGCAAGGTGGAAGGCTCAGAGAGACGGAGTTGGAGGAAGATTGACGAGGAACCAGCACTGAAGAATTGCACAGAGAGAGTATTTATGGGAGACTGAAACAAGGGGAGAGCTAACGAGCAGATTGGAAGCAGGTGTGAGGAGAGCAAATACAAGAAGGGAGCAAAGGGAAAAAAGGAGAACTAAGGAGAGCAAGAGGGCAACAAATAAAATCCTGAGAATTGAAAATAACCAGAAAACATAACAAAATAAGAATGAAACCACAAAAACTAGAAAAAATGGAACAAGGTAAAACAGAATACAAAAAAGAAAACATAACAGAACCAAGACTATGACAAGTTTATAGTGACATACACTTTTAAATAGGACTAACATTATGGGGGACTTACTGTAGAGAGCATTTTCCAAATAAGCATTTATGCAATCATCCAATTTAAATTGAAAAGGATTTTCTAATTGCACATTTTAGATTAATTATTAAACCGGACTTGTGAATGATGGAATTAAAAAATTTATTGCCAAACCCTATTTCTAAATGGAGATTTTAAAACCAAAATTCATAAATCTGATTACAAATACCTTTCCTAATCACACTTTTAAAAAGGTTATTCTTCATTACATTTCCATTTTGTTTTTCAAGTTGCATTTTCAAATTCTTTTTGAAATTCCATTTTTACTTTACTCTCTCCGTTTACGTTTTCCCAGACCCTTCTGGTCCCAGAGCACG